TTAGCAGCAATTAAACATTACCCATATTACAGGGACTCCTTATAATTGTCAAGGACAAGTCACTGTGGAACAGGCCCATGGGACTTTAAAACAGTATCTTCATAAAATTAAAAAGGGGTAGATATACCCCTGTATACCACAAATTTATTTAAATCATGTTCTTTTTATTTTTTATATTAATTAAAAAAATTGGGATGCCAAGGAACTTTCTGGTGTCTATGGTGCTCTACAACTAGGCATACTTATGCATAGGTGAAAAGCAAGGATCCACTTAGTGGCATAAGGCATGATCCTAATCAGGTATTAAACATGGGGAAGATGGCTTGTTTGTGTTTTTTCTGCAGGATGCTGAAGGAGCATGGTGGTTGCCAGAGTGATGAGTGAGACATACTGATTCCAGGATGAAGAATGATGCTGACCTGTGAGATTGCTGAGTACCCTGACAATGGTGACTGTGAAGCTGTATTGGACATTAGTTACCAACCCACCATTGCTTACCTATACCCCTGATGGGACAAGCTGCCTTGTCTCAAGTTCCTAGATCTTGTGGCACATAGAATCAAAAAGAGAAGTTATAATGCCTCTTGTATTGTTATTAAATGTGACCAATTATGCAGACTCAATCATGGACTGGTCTAGAAATCAATCCCACATTGGAAATGACAGTCTTCATTTGAAAGTCTGGTTCTGGATATTTCCAGAGACATATATGTAAATTAGCTACAGTTCTCTATGCTGTTATATTAAGAAGAGATAAAATTGGGGCAGGATCTGGATGTCAAACAGATGTTAGCATATGTGATAAGGCTTTTTTAATTGTCAAGTTAAAATACTTTTGTTTTGTCTACAGTATTTAATGTAAGTTGCATTGATTGCACACCTTTTAATTGTGTTTGTGTTTTGAAATCCAGCATGTCAGTTGTTGAGGTCTATCAACTAGCTTTTGATTTAATGCCCTGAGTATCACAGAATCTTGGAATTCTAAAAATAGCTTGCAAGTACTAGAAGAAATGAGTCAGGCTTTAAGCAGAAGCAAGAGGGTAGTGGCCTTGACTATTGCTGGAATAATATCTTTAATTACATTAATTGCTAGCTTCTGCAATTGCTGTGACACAAGAAGTTAAGACAGCTACTTTTGTTAATCATTTAGCAAAAAATGTTACTAATGTGTTGACTATACAAGAGGATTTAGATAGACACTTGGATGAACGAATTGATGCTCTTTATCCTATTCAAATTACTGGAAGGAAGTTCAGAATTTAAGGGTAAGGAGTCATCTTGAGTGTCATGCTTAATACCATTGGATTCATGTTAGTTCTAAAATTTACAGTAGTAGTCATTATAATTAGGGAGAAGTTTAATTACACTTGCAATGTATTTGGCATAATTCTAACAAATCTTGAGATATTTTTACAATATATAGGGAGCTTATCAATTTAAAGAATGCTGCTCTGCTGAGGGTTGATGGGACAGATACTGCTGATAAAATTACGCATGTCCTGAGATTAGTATTTCTATTTTGGTCAAGTTTCAAAAATGATATATATAGCTAGATCATGCTAGCCCCTTTTGTCCTGGGAATACTTTTAGTCCTGCCCATTGTGTTAAAGCTTTTCTTTAACGACATCAACATGTTGGCAGCCAAAGTAAGTTGCTGGAACCTGAAAATGGACCCCAAAACAGAGTTACTAAATTAACAGGCTGGCAAGCCAAGGATGGGTAAGATTCTGCACAGAGCCTTACCAACCTAAGACATAAGCACATTGCTTTGATAATACATATTCCGTGACAGGGAAGGAAGGCATTCTTGTCAGAATGACCTAAGACAGGCTAGGTCTTGATAATGAAATAAAAAAATGTGAGGTGGAGAGCCTTTATGACTGCTTGACAAGAATCTGACATGGCCCAAGGAGATGGGCTGCATGGCAGGAATATGACATGGCCCAAGGACAAGGAAATAGGCTTCAGGCAGGAATCTGACATTAGGCTAGAACAAAGAAGTTATTTCAGGTAGGAATCTAAATCTTAGGCTAGAACAAAGAAGTAATCTCAGGCAGGAACCTAAATATTAGGCTAGAACAAAGAAGTAATTTCAGACAGGAATCTAAATTTTAGGCTAAGACAAGAAAGTAGGCTTCAGACATAAAAATGACTTTGGACTAAGACAGAGAAGTAGGCTCAGATACTTTGGTCATCCTGATAAGCCCTTAGAAACTGTGATCATGGGAGTGTTCATGTAATTGGGTTTAGTGCCTTGCTTTTTCTTTGACTATCTGTGTTTATTGTCTTGATTGTTCCTTGACTACTTGCATCTATTGTATTGCTAGACCCTCAACCTAGAACTAATCTTAATCCATGCATACAATTAAAATGTTATAAAAGCATAAAGGATGAGGGGGCATGGGATGTGGGGTTCTAGGGAGGGGAAATGTGAGGAAGAAAGGACATCTATACTGTAAATAAATAAAATATCCAATAAATTTTTTTAAAAAAGAAAAAATTAAAGACCTAACCATCCCTAGCCCCACTGGGTGTCAGCAGCAGATAAGGAGGAAGTTTGATGTGCAAATTCATTAAGTAGAAACACAAACTTTAGGAGTCAGCAAAGTGGTGATAGGCTGAAGGGTCTCTTTACTACCCAGAAAACCTTGTGTCTGCAGCATTAAATAAATACTTGCAAGATTATTTTTAAAAAGTGATCAGTGGGGAAGGGCCTTGCCCACTACGGTTGGAGCCATCCCTTGGATGGATGCCCTGGATTCTATGAGAAAGCAGTCTGAGCAAGCCAGAAAGCAGCACCTCTTCGTTGCCTGTGAGTCAACTTCTGCCTCCAGGTTTCTGCCCTACTTGAATTCCTGCTCTGACTTCTTGTAATGATGAATTGAAACATGGAAACATAAACCAAATAAACTCTTTCCTTAAAAAAAAAAGAAAAGAAAAACAAATATGGCCTCATTAAAAAAAATGATTAGTGGTAATACAGGGTATAAGTCCTGGAGGAAGAGAACTCAGTAAATAAGAGAGACTGATTAAAATAAATGTTTCGTACTTTATTCTGAATTAGATGAAATGCATAATAAAACAAGTTAGCTCCTAGTATTTCTTATTCATAAAAATACTTGTTTAGAAATTTTCTGTTTTACTAGAGTGCTTTAAAACAGAAAACACTGCCAGAATAAAAACCAGCTGTCATATAATACATTATTGTTTTGCTTTTCAGGAGACATTCCTTAGAGTCTTTAAATTGTAATCATAGGAAAGAGAATAAAATTAAAATCTGTTCGGTTTGTATTTTCCAAATATGTCTGAACTTGTAACCCTTTACATATAATGAAAAATCAAACATATAATCTATAGTTGTTGAGTAATCATCAGCATCAGTCTTTTGTGGGGCAGTTGGCAGTGAGAAGCAGCTGAGTGCCTGATCAAGCACAGGCCTCAAACCCCAGACACTAATGGGACGGAAGGCGTTTGGTATTGTTCCTGGCTCCTGGCTCCTTTCATTCAGCTTCAGCCCTCCACAAGCCCACACACACACACACACACACAGAGAGAGAGAGAGAGAGAAAGAGAGAGAGAGAGAGAGAGAGAGAGAGAGAGAGAGAGAGAGAGAGAGAGAGAGAGAGAGGTGTCTATGGCCATTAGTCATGTAGGAATAGTGCCTCATACATGTGCTCTCCTACATATTGATAAGGTGTCCCCAAGCTCTCAGACCAAGCCAATAGGGGTTATCTGCTGCCATACCCTAACCCACACCAAAACTGTATATAAGGGCTCTATTTGGGAAAAGTAAAGGTGTGTGAGAATCATCCCATTGTCCGAAAGTTTCTGTTGCAGGAGCTATAACACTTGGGAAGATCTGCTCTCCCAAAATGCCTTCAGGACCCTCCCCTCCTCGCCAGCTAGCCGACACCTCACCAACTCAGCCTGGACCAGCTCAGGACAGGGGGGCAGGTGCAGCACCTGGGAGTGACTGGGCAGCGATAGCAGAGATGCAAGCAGAGGCAGCAGCAGAGGCGATCTCCCCTCCCTGCTTGCATTCTGTCTCCTTGGCCTGGACCCCTGCACCAGACTGGGCCAGAGATCATCATGGGATGCCCTCCGGAACACGGACCTACAGTGTTTCTTCTCTTAAAGATGTATAAACAAAAAACATAATCTGGTTACCAGTTAGTCAGGGCTTCAAAAATAATCTGACAGCTTAATCAGTCAGACCTTGAAGATTTTCTGGACCATTCAACCCTGAGTCATTCTCTTGTCTTGCTGACTACTTTTCTGCTCTGCTGAATTCCAAACATCAGCTTCCTCCACCATCTCTTTGGTTTGAAGAAGTTATTTCATAGATTTTGTGGGAGCGCTGGTTTATTCTTTAGGACTGAGTGGATCCAAGGAAATTTTGGGGACTTAGCAGTATTAACTACAATCCTCTAACCCTTCAGAAAGCTCCCATACACATGAATCATGCCCATACCCTACCCAGTTGTTTCCCACAAGGATCACTTTTGTGCTTCAGAAAACACAGGAAATGCCTGGGCATTTCAGAAAAATCCCATCAGGGAGAAGTCTTCAGAGGTAGTAGGCGTGCTCAGTGAAGATTTTGTCTTCCTGGCTTCAGGAAACCATAACATTCAGCATACCCAGAGTTGAAAGTACTGTTCTTTGTCCAAGACACATTAGTGCTTAAGTTTCTCCACCCTGATATACACTTACATTCCCATGTGTTGTTTTAAATATCAAAACAAAACTCTGTTCTTACATTTATTTCTCTAATTTATGACATTTTAATTTCATAAGCAACTTTTCCTAGCATAGAAAATTAGCAATATCTGAACAAATCATCTTGGAATGCAGAGTTTAGGATACAAATACCTTTAAGAAAAGGAATATATACAACAAGAACAAAGAGAAAAGAGCTTCAGAAAATGCTAAAATATCAATGTGACACTTTATTTTAAATAAGTAAATAACTACAGGAGGACTGTATGGTTGCAGAAAATTTTTCAGGTAGCCTCCTGGCATATTTTGCAAATAACAGAACCTTCATTTATGGACCTGTCATCAGCCTGTTTGGAAACGTGCAGAGCATTCAGCTTACTCTGAATTTTCAGTGACCTTATCTCAAATAGGAACATAATCACACCAAAAAGTGACAGGGTGATTGTCAAGAGTCCCATTGGAAACACATGAGTGCTGTATTTTTTAATCAGGGCATCTTTCTTAACTGGAAAGGTTGGTGGAAAGTCAAGGGTGGTTTTGCCATAGAGATCTACTACATGGTTCCAGGTCACAGAAATAATGGTACAAAGGCTGCTGAGGATCAGAATTAAGACAGAGAACTTGTAGCATACTATCTGAATCTCAGGGACTGAGGCTTTGATTAAGCTGACCTTAATGGCTGCTGAGCTAAAAATCACAACAAGAGGTTTTATCAGCATTGCCAGTAATATGAGGTTTCGTGCACATTGAAATTCAGGTGAAATTGTCCAGGTAGAGTTGACAGGGCTGTGTACCAGAATTATGGTCTCAGTACTAGAGAAGTTAAATTCCCAATGGTAATAAGCTTCCCAGAGTCCAATGTAAACTAGCTGGACAACCTTATCATCAAATTCCCAGAGGCGCCAGTATCTGCTGTTTGCAAGGATGATTCCAAACCCCGAAGATAATAGGCTGAAAAGGAAGCCAGTCACTCTAAAGATCCACTCCTTCACTCCTGCAAATCTGAATATAAGAAAATACAATTATAGAATCAACCAGGACCATGAAATGTAAAAAACAGAATTAATTTTCTGAGTATGAAGTACTCATTCCTTACCCCTGCTATCTCAGTGCTGTATTTAAGTGACCTATACGCATATTAGGCTTCTATAGACTTGTTATGTATGAATAAGAAGACTTGAGATCTGTGATTGTAGAGGCATTCTCCACTGTTAAATGTATCAGACAATAATACCAGAATATCTTTCAAATACTGCTATTTTGCTGTTTATTAGCTATGGATTTTTAATACTTAGAGTTAATGGTAAAACAAGAGTTTGCAGTATAATTTAAACTGATGCTTATTGCAACTCTCTTTGAAAAATAGAAAACCTGCAAAAGACCTAAATGACTGTTCCAAACAGAAGAATGTTCAACTTATTGTAGTGGACTATTACATTAACTGCATAACCATTAAATGAAAGACAAAAAAGAAAAATAATTCATATGGCATGTCCATTTATACTATACTGAAGCATACTTGACTTATTTAAATACTCAAAGAGTTATAAACATAAATTATGGGCCAAAGGAAATACTAAGCAGATCAACATAGATGGAAGAAACAGTGTCATAACTCTTTGAATATCATCCTAAAAAGTTTGCATTTCTATGTAAAAATAGGTATGATATTTCATAATTAAAAGCAGCATATACACAACCTTAAATTTCTATGTATAAATAGTTGGGTATAAAAACTTGATGAGAGAATGTTGACCTCCTACTATAGGTAGTATTTTGAGTTCAGTCTGTACAACATCAAAACTACAAAATGTATGTAAAAGATGAGACATCATGGATAGGGGCATTCTGTATCTGCCATTTATTCTGTATCCCACTTTGTGAACATTGACTTTATTTAGGTGCAACATATAAAGAATCTGGAGGTATTTTGTTGAGGCAATATCATCTTTGACACAAAATATACAGTTCATATTAACATTATGAAGTAACTTATTTAGATCCTGTGTCAATTCAGATCTCTTAGTGCAGTAAAAGGAAAATGAGAAAATCATGCTGAGAGATCCTGATGAGTCCCTTAACAGAAAAACAGAAAGGAAAAAGGCATAGTTCTTCAATAATATCAGTGTGTGCATAATGTCATTGCCATTGTACAGGTGCGGGACTATAATAACGGTCTTCTTACCAGGAAGCATTAAATACCAGCTACCTAATGTTCCACAGTCTCACATGGAATGTGTTTTCTAAAAGGGTAAAAACAGTAGATACGCTACTGTGGAAATTCCATCAATAAGAAAGATTTGGAATTGATGATGGCTTGGGAATCACAATAAGGTCCTTCCTGCCAAGGCTGATCTCAGGTGGCAGACTGCAAAACCAGTATCCTTTGAAGAAAAAAAATGAAAGCAGGATGGAGAGTTATTGTGCCCCAGACAAATTAGCTAGCTTGGCAGGGTATGTTGTTGCCCTTGTGTGAAACCTGAGAGTAGATACAAGTTTTAGGAAAGAATTTTATATGAAGTACTTTACCTTTTTGTGTTGGGGGCGAAATGAACCATTCTGAGGATGATAATATCACCAGTCTTCTAAGTCACTGGAAATAATGGTCAGAGATGGCGTCACAAATAGTGTTGAAGAACTTAAATAACCCAAGTTCTGTTTGGCACAAGTTTCTGCTCAGAACAAAGCCTTGTTGACTGTTGGTCTCTCACAAGCATTTCCAATTGTTCACTCTTTGCTTAGTTTGAACCTACTTTAAACACTTCAGAATGTTTGTGACACTCCAATCTTACCTACACTACTATCAGTCTCATTTAATACATAGGGAAATAACACAGTTACTATTTCACATGTACAACATCTATAAGTTTATACAGTGCAAGCACTGAAGAAAAAGTAGTCAGATGTGGGTATTCTGACACTCATGATACTCAGCAAGATTTATTCAATTGGAAGAAATGTCTAAGAATAGCCTGATCTATATGTCAGAGGCCTTCTTTGGCATTCTCTGTCCTAGGATAGTGAAGGTGATTAATGAAAACCACATGGAAAATATGCAATTCTTACCTCTTTTATCTTTCTTCTAAGAAGTCCAAATGTTAGTGACTGCCAACCTTATAAGAAGTAAGTACATGTGTACACATTCTTTTGTTTCCATGACTACTAGAACTAGATAATGGGTCTTGAGCCATGACTAGGTTCTAATGGACATACATAAAATGCTGGGGTGAATGTTTTCAAATTACTTTAAAAGCCATTTGTTAAAAAGTGATGCACCAAATATGCAATGTAACTCATAAAGATCCTATAAAGATTATTCTTGGTTATCCATTTGACCACATTTTGGTTTAACTAAAACTCAAATGAAGAAGAAACCTGTGGGGGATTTTTTTTCATAATTTTATCATTTGAAGTCCAATGACATATTTTTAATCCAGAACTGCCATTTGAAAATATAAGCACTTAATTCAGATGTTTTGGGATGGGAAGATCCACTATTAAATTGGATCATACCTCAACCCAACAGCCTACAAAAACTTCATGGAAAGATGTCTTTGTCTATCTTTGTCTACTTGCTCTCACTCTGGCTACCAGGTCAATTTTACTGGCACTAGAGATTATTACTTCTTGATTGGGGAATATAAGGAAATCCAGATGAGATATTCAGCCTGTTGATGGAACAACTATTCCACTCTTGAATCTTCTTTTGGTAGACAGCCAGTATTGGCCTTGCATTACCACACACTGTAGGCCACTGTAATAGACTGCCTTTATACATAGATGAGAGAGAGAGAGAGACAGAGAGAGAGAGAGAGAGAGAGAGAGAGAGAGAGAGAGAGAGAGAGAGAGACAGAGAGAGAGAGAGAGAGACAGAGAGAGACAGAGACACAGAGGGACACAGAGAGAGAGACACAGAGACAGACAGACAGACAGACAGACAGACAGACAGTTAAAAGATACCTGCTAGATCCATAGAGAGATAGATTGATGGTAGACTGATAACATACATATATGTCTGCAGACACACATACATAAATATAAATATGATCCTTAAGAACAATGACCAATAAAGTTTTGGTATTAGAAGTGGTTCTAGATGAACAGAAGTATATTTATGAGTTGTTTGAGTATCTGAAATAGGCTTTCAAGTTTACCATAACTACAGTTATTGAAACTTCTCCAGTTACTGAAGCCTCTCATTAAGCTCAGAGGGAACTAGAAGTCCATTGTGTGAACTCTTTTACAAATAGTTTACACAATGACTTTAAGAAACAAATACATTTGATAATCTTGTTTCACCAGTTATGAGGGACAATGGATTTGATGACTCTATATATGAAACATTTGAAAATTTGTGGAGAAACAAAGAAAATAATGATGTTACTAGTTGCTTTGTGTTTATTACAGGAGGAAAATGACAAGAAAACATCCAAAAACCCTCTGTGGGCCTGTCAGTGAAATTAATGAGTCTCATGCACCCTTTGTTGATGGCAGCCTCTGTATGGAGACCACAGGGAGGCACATCCCTAGGAGAATGAAGCTGAGATACAAGGGATTCCTTCAGCAGGATCCTAGGTAGGAATATAAGTTTTCAGAGGAATTTAAGTTTTCAAACTCTATTGTTGGTCTTTTCATTATCGTGCTGAACAAGAGTCTTGAGCATTTCCTATGCCACAGTCTGAATTCTATCCTACATTGACATTTCCTCCACAATAGTGTACATATTTAAGTTTTAAATTATTACATTTTCAAGAAACACACATAATTCAGCCTGTTTTTTCTCAGCATAGAACATGAATGCCCACTGCCCCCTCTTTATTTGTCTTCACGTAGTCATTGATCCTTTTTGAATCCCCATGAGCAACCCTCAATTCTCATTTCACTTATCTTACTGTCATTAAACACTGTCCATGAAATTGTCAATCAAATTTTTTACAGCAGTTAAGTGCTTTTCTGGTATACACCTACAAACAGTTATAGATTCTTCCCAAGAACCAGTCCCAAAAGCTTATGAAATACAGGGCCAGGTTAATCAAACAGTGTAGAATTCTCCTCCTAGGATTAATTTTTTGTATAACTTACATGTTTTATTGTTTTGTCACTGTGAATAGAATGAAGCCACCCATGGATTTTTCAAAGCTTATTTAGCCTAGCCTAAATTTTCTCTCACAAGAATGCACAGAAATTGGCTTCTTCCAGATTTATAAATCCCGTCATCAGCCCTATCTTGTTTATTAACAAAACTGTTCCTGAACTCTGACATTGCCTCTGTGCTCAGTGGACTCTGAATGGTTACAATGCATCATGCTTCTCCTGTTTTAGCTAATTCATAAAACAAGCATGAAAAGGCATGCAGTGGTTGCTGACAATTGCTCTTAGAACATTCTGTTTCCAAGGCAGGAACATTAACACAAGTTCAAGCAAATTGTCTTGCACTTAGAAAAATCAATTCCATCCCTGATAAAATGGTGGTAATTTTGATAAATAGTCTTGAAACAGAAATTTCTATTCATAATATAGAGCAAATAAGGGTCAAAGAAGTTTGATTGGGCCTATATTTGTTTGGGTTGTGTACAGAGATTAATAATTCCATTTTCTTTCAATATTTCAGGATGGCATGTAACACTGTGAAGGTATACTTCAAGCTCTGTCTAAGATTATCTTAATTTGTCTCTCAGCTTTAGTGATAGTTATCAGTTTGGTCAGTGAAAAAAAGTTGTTAGAAACAGACATGTCTTCCAAGGTGTAAATAGAGATAATGGAATGTGCTGCCTTCACTTTCTCTCTGACAAGAATGACTCCTATCAGTAAATCAAATATAATCAGGGCCTTCTACAGAACAGCCTTTCTCTCAGTCCATAGACAGAAAGAGTTAGAATGGCTATCTAAGCAGTCATGGTTTACCTGGTGTCAAATTTGAGAGTACCTGATAAAAGAGACCTACATTAAAGACTGCATTCTAGCAAACTGATCTCATTGATATTAGATTGAGAATGATATTGGACAAGCACCCTGTTGAGTCTAATAAACTTAATTTGAAACATAGTGATGGGTAGTCCATCCTAAAGATAACCTATAGTCTTCTACAGTAAGTACTGCTGTCAATACCCAGCAGTCCAGTTTACCCCTCAAGTAACAGGTTTCAATTGATTTCGTAGCCATTCTGTGGGGATTTGTCTATGTCTACACACTTTGATTCTGTGTAAATTGGCACACATCTTTTTTCTTGATGTATAGTTCAAAGGCTTTATTATTCTGGATGATTTCCAAACTGAAACCTTCACAAGAACATGTATATATCTTATGCATATGTATTGTGTGATTTTGTGTTCAGTAGGGTAAATATGCATAGAAGTTAATGTACCTGAGGACATGCTTGCATAAACAAAACCCTAAGAGAAATATTAAGTGTATTTCTCTGTCACTCTCTGTCTTATTGAGACAATTTCTCACCCTTAAACTGCAAGATCTTTGTTTTCAGCTAGGCTAGTAATCAAAAGGGTCAAGAGATCTTACTGTCCGTGGGTTTGAAGGTATACATGACACCAAGAAAACATTATGTTTCTTGGTGTTTCTTGTTTCATATAACATTATTGTTATATGATTACTGAAATTAGATAGAATTCAGGTCTTCATAATTGCACAAAAGTGCTTTTATCCACTGATTCAAAAATGATTGTTCATGTAATCCATCACAGAGAACTTTCAAGTATTCTTTGACCTTT